GGCCCGGAGAGCCGGGATGAGCAGGGGCCGCCTCCTCCGGCCGCGCCGCCCCGCTGCGCTGCGTCCCCCTCACTCGGCGGCGCCGCTGGCTGCTTGTAGGACACAAAAGGACATCGCGGCCGCTTCCTACTCCGCTTCCTCCAGCTGACAGCGGAGGCGGGGTCGGCCGTGCGCATGCAAAGCAGGGGGCGGGGCCAGGTGCCTTATGCTAATCAACCTAGAGAAGCGGGCGGCGCCTGCGTACCCGGAGGCAAGTGGGCGGGCTTTAGTGACACACACGCGTGCGCGGCCGCCCTGAGGGCGGGGCCTGAGCCCAGGCTAGGCACAAGGACTCGGAGCCGGAGCGGGGAGGAGCCGGAGCGCCCTTGCGTCATGGAGGTGGGCGGAGCCCCGCCTTACAGGAGTGGGCGTAGCCACCCAGTGGGCTCTGTGCAGGCGGTGAACATGTATGTAAATGAGGGGGCGGGGTTGTGTGTCTGCATATGCATAAGGATAAGGGGTGGGGCCTAACGGGGGCGCTGACACCCCCCCCCCTCATAATGTTGATGGGACACTTGACACTGACTTGGTAGACCAGCACACCTGCGGACCCTCGGGTAGGAGCAGCAGACCTAAAACATGCAAGTATTCCTGGTTTGTGAGTTCCTGGAAGGTAGTACTGGTGAGACTCGGGCGGAGAAAACTCAAGGTCACTGCGGTGACCGAATGAAGGTCACGGGGAAAGGCGGGGCCACGTGCGTCCGCCTCACGCAAGCAGCCACGCACTGACTCGGGAACCATGCATAGACTCTTTAATTTCTCTAGGGCTCAAATTCCATGCAGATGGGGTCGAGCTTGGGTCCAGGGAACGGGACAGGGCACGGGGCTGCCGTCTGGTCGGCCGCTTGAGCTGGAGGTTCACTGAGGCATCAAGTTCAGCCTCTTGTTCCGGCGCTTCTTGAGCCCCTCGATGTATCCCTGCAGCTCTTTAGTCATGAAGTGGCCCCTGCCAATCGTGGACCTATATGCTACGGAGAGGGCAGAGCTGAGGGCAGGGCCGTGAGCCATGGCAAAGCTTTCCCCCAGAAGGCACCACCGGTGTGATTCGAGGAACCACAGATGACTGGATTTGGATCTGTGTTAGTTTGGGGGTTTTGGATCACCAAGGTACGATGTGTTACGGTGAAGAATGGAGGTGAAGGAGGCTGAAGATGCTGCAAGCCTGAGCCAGGGCTGTGAGCGCCGGCAGCTGTACAGCCTCCTCCTGGGCCACCCACTCTAACTAGTCATCTGGCCCTTTTTCCCCCTCTGGATGTTCATACCTCGTGAACAGAAGGTTAGCCAAACAACCCAATACCCAATAACTTTACCCAAATAATCCAGATGTGTCACTGTTCCCTCACCTGGGAGTGAAGCAAAGCTACACAAAGGCAGTCTGTCATCCCACTGGACAAGTGGTTTTAAGTCCTCTGAGTCACTCCATTGAGCCTGCCTGTGCCTAGTCCCTAGACTTTTAATTTTGGGGGAGCCCTTGGAATATTTGTGAGTGCTAAGGGGATCTGACAAGATATACAACACATCCTGAAACTCCACTCCCGAAACCCCAAGCCCTGCCAAAGCCACCAGGATCTTTTGTGGAAGTTGGGGTGGGGGTGCTCACTATTGAGGGCTTTGCTGAGAATATCCAGAACTTCATTCTCCATGAGTTCCATCAGGGGCAGGGGCAGCTGGAACGGCAACAAGAAGACCCCGTTTCTGTGTGGAGCTGAAGGGCTCCCCACGTGACCTCCCCAGCCTGCCCGCCCCACCTTCCTGAAATCTGCCCCAGCCTACCTGCAGGCCTCAGCCTGCCCTCCTCCTAGCCACTGCCCGCCCGCCCGCCCGCCCACAGCAGTCTCCCCAGGCCCCTCCAACCCTGTTCTGCTGCTCGGTCCAGTAGGCTTGATGGGGTGTTCGCTTTGACGGACTGACTGACAATTCCGAAGTAGACTTTCCTAGAGAAACGCAAAGCGAAATCAGTCTTCTTCAGGCTCCTGGGTCTGCTCTGGAGCAAAGCATATATGTGTAGGCATATGGTGGATGTGGGGTTCAGAGGTTAGTTCCACATACTACCTTCACTGAAGACTGTATGGGATATCCAGCCCTAGGCTTTAGAATCCCACCCAACTGGGACCCAGAACGACTGTCCCACTGTGTGAGACACAGAGAGTCTTGGATTTGTCACCTGTAAATGGAGTTATAGGAATTGTCTTTTATGAGAATAGTGCATCCTGTGTGAGTGTGTTGTTGGGACTAGAACCCAGGACCTTGTATAAGCTACGATAGAACTCTACCAGTAAGCTACACTCCCAGGCCCAGAATGGCCTCTGATGGCAGTTGTGATATGTAGAGGGAACAGTACCAGAAGTTCTATGCCGGACATATAACAAGTGTTCAGTATGTGTCAATTGCTATATTGGTATGAAGCTTTTTGTTTAGACAGGGTCTCACTATGTGGACTTAGCTGTCCTGGAACTCAATATCTAGACCAGGCTGTCTTGGAACTCACAGCTATCCACCCGCCTCTGCCTTCTGAATACTGGGATCAGGGGTGTACACTTCCACACCTGGCTTTGTTATCAGTGCTAATTCCCTGAAGAAGTTGGAAATGGGAGGGACAGAGGGTGGATACACCCAAGTCTCAACAGTGCTTGGCATACTGTGAATATATTTAATTTTTGTTTTTAACCAAGTCGGACATGGTGGTGCATGTGTGTAAATCCCAACACTCAGGAAGACACCGGGAATCCAAGGTCATCCTGGGCTACATAGTGAGACTCTCATTCCAAAAAGAAAAACAAAATAAAAATAAAGTAACTGCCGGGCAGTGGTAGTGCACGCCTTTAATCCCAGCACTCGGGAGGCAGAGCCAGGCGGATCTCTGTGAGTTCGAGGCCAGCCTGGTCTACAGAGCGAGTTCCAGAAAAGGTGCAAAGCTACACAGAGAAGCCCTGTCTCGAAAAACCAAAAAATAAAATAAAATAAAGTAACTGTTGACTTTAAAAAAAAAAGGGGGGGGGGGAGACTGCAAAACATCGAGATCCCAGCCAGGGAATGAACTCATTAAACCCACAGGTGAGGGAGGGCTCGGAATGTAGTTCAGTAGAAGAGAACTTTCCTAGTATGCGCGATGCCCTCGGTTGACACCCAGCACCACATTATACAAGAAACCCACCAGGGCTTCGCTTGTGCTGACTGCCTGCGCCTCTCTTCTGCATTCTGAGTAGTAGGACGCCTGCCCGGTAGGGGGCGCTCCAAGAATGTATGTTTGCGGTAAAGCGTGAAAGATTTGCTGCCCTCACCACCACCCCCGCAACCCCTCCCCCCCCCCAGGTAATCTTGTAAACTTGGGATCCTATGGGCTTACCCCCATTTCACAGGAAGGGAAACTGAGACCCTGGCTAGCCCCACCCCTGTACACACCTATCGCCTCGGCGAGGCCACTCTGTTCAAAGGAGGTCACAGATTCGTCGTGCTCCTCCTCATCTACCACGAGATCGCGCTCCAAGGTACTGCCACGGCGCAGCTCTAGCTCTAAACGCGCTTGCTGCTGGATCTCCTCTGGCTCGAGGTGGAGACTCTCCTTCAAGGAAATGGTGTGGCTGTACCTGCGAGACTTCTCTACATCTCTGCCCTCCTCGTCGAAGTCCTCGCAGACGTCGGCCAACGACGCGTTCGCTGTGGACATGGTGGCCGTGCTCCATAGATCACGAACATCTCCGTACAGGCTCGACCTGGCGGAACTGCGGCGACGGTGTTCGTGTTTGGTCACAGCCTGCGGGGCACACACACACACACACAAAGGAAGCCAAGGGACTCGGGGAGCTAGAGAGGGCAGGAAGAATGGGCTGGAGTGGGGACTCCATGGACCAAGCGCCCAGGCTGCAAGTGTCAGGGCTCGGAGGGCCCAGGCAGACTTCTTACTTGGGAAACGTTTTCCTCCATCGTTCCGCACCAACGGACCAGTCGCCACAGGACTCAGCCGAGAAGGGGGTCACGCTCCAGGAAGGGGGAGGGGCAGAGTCTCCTCCCGGGTGGCGATAATGGTCTCGCAGGAGGAGACTTCAAGCTGCAGTTGTCATCAAGACTAAATTGCTCCCACCCCCAATATCAATGCCAAGGATGGCGGTGCCCAGGCCAGCTCTGAGTTCGGGTCTCCTCCAGGCATGGACAAGAGTCTGAATACCCAAGCTCAGCCGAAAGGGCCACAACTTGATCAGCGTGGGTTCCCAGTGGGCTGGATATATAGCCCCGCCGCAGCGCGAGAAAAGCACTCGCACACCCACTCGGGTCCCAGGAGCACGCACTCGGTGGTGCAGACTTTTTGTTTATTGATGCAGGTTTTGAGGCACAGTCGTGAGGTGTGAGGGACAAGCCGGGCCAGGACAGCGAGTCAGAAAGCTTTGGATGGTGGAATTTGGAAATGGTTGGGTGTGAGGAACCAGCCTGGGAAGAGCGGTGCCATTTGGCAACCCTTGAACACCTCCCAGGGTTACAATCGCATTGAACAAAAGAGGACTCTTTGGTCAAATAAGCCAAACATGCCTGGGCATCAGCAGGAACGAAGCCCCTGGCGGGGGGGGGGGTCCCGGGCCAGGGATCCTGCCCCTACACAGGCACAGCTTTGTCTCGGAGACGCGCAGGACCCCGGGGTCTCGAGGGCTTCTTGGAGGGATTGGGACGGCGGCGACCCCGAGGCGCTCGAGGCAGGGAGCAGCCACGTTCACTCTGCGTGTCTGAGGACTCGTCAATAAAGGCCAGGTTCTCACTGGGGTAATCCAGAGCCGAGGCCGTGGGCGGGGAAGGTGTCTCGGCCTTCTTTGGGGGCACAGGGGATCCCGGCCTGCAGGCTGGCTCAGCAGCACCAGGTGGTGCTGGCAGTGAAGAGGGCAGGATCGGTTGCTCCTTCTCTGGTGGCGGGGCGCTGGGCCCGGCTCTCTGGGTCACCCGTGCTGTCACTGTGCCGGTCCAGCTAGCAGCCTGCGCTGTGAGGCCACCCATCTGCAGAGAGGAAACGGTGTCCGCCGCCGATTCTGGGAACTGCCCCTTACCCACCTTTTTGCCTGGCTCTCGAGCCTCAGCCTGACCCCCACAGACACACTATTCCTGCATTGGATCGAAGCACCCCTTCTGCAGGAGCCTTTCTAGAAAGCCCCAGTTTTGTTTCAGCCTTAGCTGTCTCTCTGTAGTCGGCTAGCAAAATTCAGGTTTCAGATAGGTCGCAAAATTTAATATCAGTATGACTCATACAATATTTGGGGCATGTTCTAAAATCTTATTTGTTGTTCATCTGAAACTCACACATAACTGGCCTTTCTAGTTTTGTTGTTTTTAAAATAGAGTCTCATTCTATAGCCCAGGCAGGTCTGCACTCGCAGCAATCCTCCTGACTCTGCTCTGCTTACCAAGTATGGGATTTATAGATGCGTTCCACCTTGTCTCCGAGTTTTTATTTACTAACCCTGGCGACCCTATCTATCCATGGAGGCCGAGGTGGTCGAGTCCCTGACAAACCTGAATTTACTCCGTTGTTCCCGGTAGCGCACGCTCCGAGACTCAATTTCGGAGGAACCTACATTTTGGAGGGGAGTCTGGCTGATCAACCAGCGGCTAAGGGTACAAGAGACAAGTGGCATGCATGGCGCATGCGCGGTAAAGAACAGACCCTGGGAAGCGTACCTCTGCCCGAGTGCGGCGAGACACCGCCCGCAACCAGTTGCCGATGGTGGTGAGCACCGAGGCGAAGTAGGCTAGGCCAAACAAGATCCAGAACCACGCCAGAGGTTGGTAGGCTGAGTTCTGCCCGGGGTCAGTGCCTAGATAATTCACAGGGAGAGAAAAGTAAGTTGATGGGGTCAGGAGGCAAATGTGTGAGCCTCTCTGGTTCAGGGCCGGTTTCTACACCTTGTTGAGAGAGTGCCCTCCCCAGAAAAAAAAAAAAAAAATAAAGAATTAAAAAAAAAAAAAATTTGCTTGGCCTCTGGGAGCTCAGCTGCAGTTGAGTCTGTGCTAAAAAAAAAAAAAAAAAAGGATGTGTTAGAGTGTTAGATGTATGCAAGATGAGTGTGCACGAATTGCAATTGTGTATAGTAAGAGCATGCAAGAGGGGGTGAACTTAATATATGTAGGAGCATGCACGGGACTCAGGCCGACAAGATGTAAGTGGGCATTGGGTGCTGCCTGCTGGAAGCACCATAGTGCGTTCCATGATGGGTGTGGGAGCTGGGGCAAATACCCCACAGTAGTTCATAGGCAGAGTGCAGGGATAAAGTAGTTGGGGAAAACGCTGGGCAAAGTTAGCCTCACCGGGCACATAATCGCCAAAGCCCACGGTGGTGAGTGTCACTATGACAAAGTAGATGGCTTCCAGCTTGCTCCAGCTCTCCATATAGGAGAACACGAAGGTAGGAGTTAGGACAAAGAGCAGGCAGCCAATCAGCAGAAAGAGCACCGCGGACAGCATTCTCACCAGCCCGGGTGGCACGTGCCACTTCTGCGGGGAGGGGCGAGAGATAGGGCCATGGAGATACCAATTCCATTCTCCCCACCCCTCCCGACCTCCATCCTGGCTTACTGCGAGGCTCCCTAGGAGTGCACACTCACATGCCAGGGACCTAGGGAAGAGTACCCTATGAGGGGCACAGTGCAGCTCACCAAGAAGATTGCTTCGATGTGACCGATGCCCCGGCGCAGAGAGGAGCCCAGCCGGTCCCCGACCCCCGCCAGCAGCATCCCGAACAGCGGGATCCCCACCAGTGCATAGAAGATACAAAAGAGACGCCCGGCGTCTGTCTGTAAGGCTGTATTGCCATAGCCTGGATAGAGGGGGCAGTGCAGGAAATGTAGGCGCGATCTGGCACCCACTGCCGCTCCCTGCACCTTCCCCCATAGGGAAACTCCTTGCCCCTTGCCTCCCTCCACATGCCCCATCTCCTCCCCCACCGATGGTAGTGATGATGGTGCCCGAGAAAAAGAAGGCGCTGCCCAGGTTCCAAGCTGATGAGTGGTTGCTGCTATTGGTCCAACTGGTGTCTGGGTTTGCACCCCCTCCCAGGGCTTCAGCCACGAGCTGCGGATAAGGCGCACAAGGAGGAACCTCAGACCTTCCCTCCAGCTGGGCCCTCCAGCTCCAGCCCTCCCCATTCCTTACACAGCTCACTGGCTGTGTATCTACCTCTCTTCCCTTCCCTGCTCTTTGGTTTTAGTTTTTGACAATGTCTCTCTGACTCTCTCTACCTAGCTATCTTTTTGTGGCTGGTTGGTCTGGTTTTTTGAGACAGCATTTCACTATGTATCCCAAGCTACCCTGAAACATGCTGTGTGTCTGGAACTATTGATCCCTCCTGCCTCAGCCCCCCAAGTGATAGAATGAGAAACATAAAACCACCATAACTGACTTTGCATGATAGATTCCCAACTTTACAGTCGGGAGCACTGATGCTGGGTTCCAATCTTGGCAGCCTTGGGCAAGTTAACTCATGGTTCCTCAGATTCCTCCTCTATCACATGGGGTGACTGTCAGAGCACCAACATCACAGATCTGGCATGCGGAGTAAACACTGGGTATTTGTTGGGTAATTTCCCACACGGTCATGATGTCCCGTGAGTTCCTGCTCCTGTGTGAGTGTGAGACTCCACTCCCCACCCCACCCCCCACTGCTGCAGTGGAAAGTGAGTCTGAGTACCTGGACTCTAAACAATGTATTGAAAGGTGAGACCTTCACAAGCCATCAAATGTTGTGGCCACTTTTAGAAGGTTTATATGTGTGTGCTTGTGTGCACACGCCACCTCGTAACATCCAAGCCAAACCCAGTATTTCGTATGGAGTGCTCCATAAGCGTGACTGAATGAGTGAAGTGCCAGGGCCATGCTTTTCTTGCCTGCCTGCAGATTCCCCAGGGGAACGGTCTGTGTCTGGAAAGAGCTTGCCCTGGGTGCTGGAATGTCAGAGCACCCAGAAGATGAGAGGAAGAAGGGCCCTTCCCCATACTAAGCAAGGACAGAATCCACAGAGTTTACAGTCTGTCTCATCTCCATGGCAGCCCCCATTAGCAAGACCTACTCCAAGTTCATCCTCCCTGGAGTAACTGCTGCAAACCCTCAAGGCTCTTATTTGTCCGGAGGAGAGTCCAGACTCCTTAGCTCAGCATTTATTTAGTTATTATTTTGAAAAAAAAAAAAAAAAGTCTCATATAGCCTAGGCTAGCCTCAAACTCACTAAGTAGTCAAGGATGGCTTTGAACTCCCGATCCTCTCGCCTCTACTAAGTGCTGACATTACAGGTGTGAGCTACCCTATCCAGTTTTGGTAGTGCTGGAGAGATACCCAAGCCTGCAGCATGCTAGGCCAGTTCCTATCAATCTCTCAGCTGAGCCACACCCCCAACTCGCTCTTATTGGAGGGTTGTTTGCTTTTGTTTTGGGAGTCTTTCTTACTCAGTAGCCCAGGCTAACCTGGAACTCACAGCAGTCCTCCTGCCTCAGCCTGGCACAGCACTTTTTCTAACCTGGTCTCCACCTTTCCTCAGACTTCTCTCTTGAGATTGTGATTTAGCACCCCAAAAAACAGCAACCTTCTCCCCAGATTCTCTGAGGTGATTCCATTTTCTGTAATAATGGTCTTTCAATAAAGAGGTGAAATGTCTGGTTAAAAGTGATTTAAGTTTTTCTAAGATTTATTTTATATGTTTATTTTATTTTATTGTGTATATGTATGTATGTATGTATGTATGTATGTATGTCATGTACATGCCTGGTGCCCACAGAGGCCAGAAAAGGGTGTCAGATTCTCTGGATCTAGAGTTACAGTTATGAGCCACTGTTGGGGTGCTGAGAGCCAAACCCAGGTCCCCTACAAGAGCAGCAAGTACTCCAAACTGCTGAGCCATCTCCCCAGCCCCAGTGATTTATGTTTTATTTATTTGGCAACATTCCCTCACATCCCCAAATCCTTCATCATCCAGTGTGTTCTGACTTTTGTTTCAAATGACCAGGCGTCTGCTCTCTCCAGTTTGTGCTACACTCTGAGCTTGTCAGCTTCCGCTCTATTGCCATGCTGTTCCTCTGCCTGGGGCTTGTTTGGCCCCACACTCAGAATCCTGTCCCTCTCACTTGGTACTTTCCCACTGCCAGCTCCCCCCAAAGCCTCTGCATTCTGCTTCATTCCCAGCACACAACCCAAGGCCCAGCAACCAGTGGGTGCTTAGTGAAGAAGGAAGGAATCTCCCTTTCCACGGCTTCCTACAGTCTGTCCCTGGATCTGTGCCTTAGATGTGACAGCACTGAGAAGCCCCATCTGCTTCACCCCAATATTTGTGCCTCTACCCACCCCCAGCACACACAGGCGTATCATTGCTGCAGGACTCACTCATTCAGGGAGTGGCTGCTGTTGTTAAGAGAAGCAAAGCAACAGTCACCCACCCTGTAGGCTCCCAGTCTCTCCTTTTCTTCTTTCTCATCCCAGAATAAAGCAATTCCATTGTGAAGATAAATAGGTCACACTCCCTCCCTCCTCTGCCCTGTGGTCTGGCCAGGCGCACTCTCCACCCAGGCACTTCTGAGCAGAACTTGTCCTGATTTCTGGAAGTGGGAGAGAGCATCACTCTGCCCGTATCTTGGCACTGGATCCTGCCACCTTAGGAATCAGTTGGAACTCTGAGGCTTACATGCAGACCCTCCACAAAGAACAGTCAGGGAATGAGGGGTACTCTTCTGCCAAGTGAGAAATACTAATTTATCAAGGTTAAGCCAGAGCTTTCCAGAGCGGTGACTGAGAAATCAAAGGGAGCGACACAGGAACTCACAATCTGGACCCATGAAGGCTGAAGCCCACAGCTTCCCTTCATGACTGGATGGAGACTGATCTACAGTAGCTTGGAAAAGCCTGACACCACCACCCCCCCTTCCCACTTGCTTGGCTGCTGAGCATGAGGGAGGAGGGACTCCTGAACTGGCATCCACAGTGGGAGGAGCAGAAGAAGCCCTCTAAAGTCACCTGGACTTGTTTATGTGCAAACTTTGGGGGCGCAGCGGGAGGTGTTCGCCGGATCCTTGGGTTTCTCTAAAGCATCTGAACTAAAAACATACATAGGAGCTTGTGTGGGAGGAGCAGCCAACATTAGCAAGTAAAAACTCTGCGGGGGGGCCGGGTATGGTTGTTCCGGCTTGTAATCCCAGTGCTCTGGAGGCTGAGGCAAGACAAGACAGTCCTGAGTTCAAGGTCAGTTTGTGTGGCACAGTGAGTGCCCGGCCAGTCAGGGCCACATAGCAAGCCCCTGTCTCAAAAAAGCAAAAATCATTACCAGGGTTATATTTAAATTCAGCTGTTTAGCTGAAAGTCCCAAGTGACTGAACATCTAAGATTTGGTCTGGTGACCTAATGATGTTAGACCTGTACAATGTAGCATGTGCTCCAGCCACTTATTCATTCCATTCATTTATTTGTCCGTTTTCCCTTCCTTCTATCAACGTCACACAGGGAAGGAGGCGTTCCAGGAGCCTTATGCCAGCACACACAGGTAGCAACAACAGCATGGCCAGCATTTTGTAAACACCCCCAGATGCACCCAGCCCTCATGCATGTCTGGAGGCAGCCCCCCCAAGCATGACCCCATTGCTGACCAGTCTGCCGACCCACCTTGATGAATTTCGTCAGGTTCTCTTGGCTCACACAAGGATAGTCCTTCAGAAACTTGTCTCGGCCATCTTCCAGCTTCTTCTGAACCTGCTGCTCATGAGGCTGCTCTAGAGCCTGGAACACTAGAGCCCCAGATACCAAATAAAGCAGCACCAGTGCCAGCAGGGCCAGGAGTGTGGTGCTGCGCATGGCCCTTCCAGAGGCAGGTCCGGCTCCGCTTCCTGCCTGGGAAGGAGGAGCGGGGAGCTCCTGGGGAGCAGTAGTCACTGCAGGCCAAACCAAGGATTATGGGGTCAAGGAGAGATCTGACACCCACATCCTCCTTTTCTATCTTAGACTCCCCAAGGTTTTGGAACCCCTAGCCTTATTGTCCATGGATATAACAACCCCCCCCCCCGCCCCCCAGCATCCTCTGGCTAGACATCTAGTTCCAGGTACTAACACCTAGACCGCCACCTCCAGCCTCCCTCTTACCTCCGGGGCCTAACCATCAGGAGAGTAGGAGGAAGAAGGAGACAGCCTCGGAAGAGGCAGGGTAAGTGAGAAATGTGGGGAGTTGTGAGCCATAGGGAGCCTTGGAGAAGACCAAGGGAAGACCAGGGCTTTCCAAGGCAAAGCAGGAGGAAAGGCTGGAGCCCGCAAAACAGGAGACAGGAATAGCAGGTCCATACTTGACTCTCCCAATGCGGCTGTGGCAGCCTCCTCAGATGCATCTGTCCCTTCCTGCCTTTCCCGAGTCCAGGCTAGCAGGGATCAGCGGGGCAGGGATCCTCCAGGGTCCCCACCCGCCCGCTGGGCTTTCGAGGAACCCAGAGGCAGATCTGGCTGCAGGGTAGAGGCAAGGCCCAGAGCCAGGTACAGGAAGGGTAGGCACCAGGTTCCCAAAAGAAGGGAGGCACGGGGTGGGAAGGGCAGCATGGATACAGCAGCCCACGGGACAGCTGTCACCTAGGGAGCAGCGGGAGATGGCAGGCGCGCGCGCGAGCACACACACGCGCGCGCACACACAGACACGCATATATATATTTTATATATATATGCTGTCCGCCACACGTGCCACAAAGATCCGCGATCCCACACTCCACCCCTCGGCTCTAGCCGCAAGCTGCCCAGGCTGCAGGCATAGCACTGCACCACATTCCAGCAGACCCCGGCGCAACTGACCACCATGGGCGTGCCCGCGGTGCCGAACCACCTTAGATGTCCACGCGCACGGGCACACACACACACCAGATCCGTGTGACACCGCACGGCAGCCACTTGCTCCCACCACCTCCCCCGCGTCCTTACGCCGACGCCTCCGAGCGTGACCCGAGACGGGACGCACCGTCACACCACTCGAGGAGGGCATTCACGCGCGGGAGGTGGGTGTCCCGCTCTGCCGGTCGCCTCCCAGCTCCCGGCCCGATATTCAGCCCACGTCCCCGCGCCAGCTCCCCACTTACTGTCTGCCCCTCTGCGGCTGCGGCTTTGGCTGCAGCCAGGTCTCCCGCGCCGCCTCGCGCGGGTACGGGCTGGGTCACGGAAGTGGTGGCAGCCGGGGACCGAGCGGTCGGCCTTCAGGCTGGGACACCACCCCCTCCTTTCCACCCTCAAAACCCCCCTCCCCGGGCGCTTAACCCTACCACAGCTACGTCTCCTAGTCTCCTACGTGCCGCACCCTCGCCACCGGCTCTCGCTGTCACCCGCCTTGCACTCAGCCCTTTACCTGCACCCTCTGGGCTCCCCAATCCTGGCTTGTCCTGGCCAGTGAGCAGCAGAAGAGCTAGAGAGCGGTCGACGCGGAGTCCAACCTTCCAGGCTGGGATCGGAGCCCCAGCGCTGCCCTAACCTGGACATCAGTTGGCCCGGGGCTCAGGACAGCCGTCGCACTCATCTCCTGGAATCTTCTAGGTCTATTACTGGACTGGGAAGAGCCCTCTTTCTCCGCCCATGGGGATAGTCAGGCCCTTGGGCTCAGCACTTATGAGGGAGAGGCCCTCAGGGAGAAAGGGGTATGTGGGGGTGGGGGGCGGGGAGATCTCTTTGAGGCCACCTGGATTTAACCAGCTGTATGGGCTGGGTCCCAGCTCTGCGAAGTCACTGATGGAGCATCTCCTGATCTGGCTGCATCCCCAGCTCTGATCCTCCAGGTCTTGGAGTAACTCCCCCACCCCCGGAGAGGGGCCAGCAGCTGCCTGCCAATCCTAGCAGGCAGAGTAGAGTGCTAGCATTTTCTGAAGAGCTAAGACTGGGTCCTATGCGGTCTCTGCTCTTCCCTGTTCCCTGTTCACGTTCATATCCATTTCTTTACTGATCTCCCCAGTCTCTCCTGCAGCATTTGGAGATCCTATGGGCTTGTGGTCCATACTTTTTATTGTTGTTTTGCTTTTTGGAATCGGGGTTTCTCTTTGTCCTGGAACTCACTTTGTAGACTAGTGTGGCTTCAAACTCAGAGATCTGCCTGTCTATGACTTCTGAGTGCTGGGATTAAAGGTACACGCCACCATACCAGGCCCAGCGGCGATGGTCAGTAGTTTTAAGCCTAGAGTTTAAGGTGACCACCCCAGATGGGAGGGGGCCAGGGCAGGTTATCAAACTCTCTAGAGTCTTCCTGTCCCCACTTACAGTAAAATAATTTTCTCCGGGTGCTGATTGGAGCGTTTAAGAGGTCAGTGTTTATAAAATGCTCAAAGGCTGGCACACACAATTAAGTGCTCTATAAATGTTAGCAATTTTGCTTCCACCCAAAGTGATTGTCTAGCTTACTGCTGAAGTCCTGAGCCTCTGATGTTCTCTCTGGAGACCTTGCAGACCTGGCTCCAGGATGCTCCCAAAGAAAGGGCTTCAAGGCAGACTCATTGCTAGGCTGAGATCCCAGAGGAGCTGGAATCACCAGGTTTCTGGGCAGGAGTCACAGGCTCTGATAAGCAATCCTGAGCCTCAGGGCAGAGCTGCCAAGATGTCATGTCAGGAGTGCAGGGCACTGACTAAACTGTTGGGGGGCAGGAGGCAGGAGCTGACTGCAAGTGACCAGGCAATCAGGGGAACCCATACCCACGTGAGGAGATGGAGGTGGGCCACAGCAACACCTCTTGACACTTGAAGGCCACATTAGAAGTGGTGACAGAAACAAACGAGACCTCAGGCCAATGAGATTGCTCAGTGCTGCATAAGGCTGCTTACCACCAAGCCTGAAATTCCAAGTTTGATTCCTGGAACCCCATACCTGTATGTGTGTCTGTGTATGCACACCCATGCTACACACACCCCACAATTAAAATAAGAGAGTATTAGCCGGGCGGTGGTGGCCCACGCCTTTAATCCCAGCACTCGGGAGGCAGAGGCAGGCGGATCTCTGTGAGTTCGAGGCCAGCCTGGGCTACCAAGTGAGTCCCAGGAA